GACATGTCCTTCATGTTCTCCGGTTGCGGATCCTTCAATCAGCCTATCGACCAACAGCTTGGACGGTGGAATACAGGTCGGGTCACAGACATGAGGGGTATGTTTTCCGGTGCAGTGACCTTCAACCAGCCGATAGAGCGATGGGACGTTTCACGAGTCAGAGATATGTCGTGGATGTTCAGGAGTGCCATTTCTTTCAATCAGCCCATTGGTGCTTGGTACACTGGCCATGTTGAGGGCATGGCTGCAATGTTCGAAAAGGCTGCAAAGTTCAACCAGTCCATTGAAAAATGGAACACAGCGGCAGTCACGGACATGTCCTTCATGTTTTCTGGAGCGATTTCTTTCAATCGCTCGATTCATGATTGGGAAACTGCAAGTGTCACGGATATGAGCGGTATGTTTTTCAATGCCGGAGTGTTCAACCAACCGCTTGGACGGTGGAATACAGGTCGGGTCACGGACATGTCCCAGATGTTCGCAGGAGCAGCATTCTTCAACCAGCCGATCAATCAATGGGATACCTCTCGGGTAACTAGCATGGCGCAGATGTTTGAAGGAGCAATTTCTTTTGATCAGGCACTCAATCACTGGGAAACTGAGGCAGTGACAGACTTTTCTCGGATGTTTTTCCGTGTCAGCTCATTCAACCGACCGGTAGGGATGTGGGACACATCAGCTGTCTCTACCATGAGAGAGATGTTCGCCGGTGCCAGAAGCTTCAATCAGCCCCTATCAACATGGAGCTTCACATCAGTTCTTGAAGACACTCTCAGCGATGCGTTTGCTGGCTCGGGTATGTCTGATTGCGTGTTCAACCTTAGTTCCCACGCTTTAGGTTTGCCGCGCAACCTGTCTGTTCTTTGGTCACGTTTAGCATGTCCCAGCTGCCCTTGTCTACAGACAGATTTGGCATGTGTCAATGGAACTTGTCAACCAGTGAACTCCGGCTTCATTGACCTTGGGAGAGGTGATTGGAATAATGAAAGTGCAACACTCGCGACAGCTGTGGGCTTCCGAGCTTGTGCTGAAAGTTGTGAAGAATCAGATTGCTATGCGTTCCTTCTCGAAGAGTCTGGGCAATGTTTGCTGATTCCAGAGGGTGGGCTCAACTTGTTTGGTGGAGGACACGGTGAGTACAGAAGTTGCAACGCGTTCAGATTTCGATCGTGTCCATGTTTTTTCAGGTGATGTATCAATCGATGTATATATAATTCTTAGCCTTTGGGATTTTGGAGACTCCAGGCATGAATTTGTTCCATGTTGCTAGTAATGACCGCTTGTTAGCCGCTCTCCGGAGAGGAGCGCGCCAGACATATATGGCCTTCCGGAGAGTGTCGTGCAGCGCCTTCTCATGCCCGATTGGAACAACGCTTTCAGCACAGGATCGCGGGAACAGCTCAGCTGTAACGGCAGCCTCTTGTTGCCAATGTGCTTATTCCAATCAAGTGCGAGATCGCAGCAGGGAGCCAGTTGCTTGGACTTGTGGGATTAATTCATGATGCAAGTGTGGATAGGTGGGGGGCTCTTCAGCTTCAGAGCTGATATGGTTTCTTCCCCCTGTGTGGTTAGTACGTGCCCTCTTGTGCTCTTGACAAGAAATTGCTCTACAATTCTGTAGTCCCTCTGCTTTTTCTTGCATCTATACGTTTCTTTGGTTCTCGCTCCACATTTCTAGTTTGTTCTCTACTCTACCCCACTTTACAGTCGAACGCCCCCTTGTCTTGTAGATGTGTTTTCCTAGGAATGTCTACTGTTCTCAATCTTTTCCCTGTGGCTGCCTCACAAATCTTACTTTCTACATTCTCCCGGAAACCCCCACTTTGCCCTACTTGTCTCCCGAAACTTCTGACTCACGCAGCTTTGCCAGTGCGCCCGGCGACCTGCAGTGCTGTTTCCGAAATCATTGCCTTCTCAACAGACACCGAGGACTTGGAATGTTTTACCTGTCCGGCCGGCAGAGCTCCAAACGTGGACCGGTGCGATGCCTGTCCTCTAGGCGGGTGTATCTTGCGGTACAGCCCCATACGCATGTATGTCTAGATATATCTAGATATGAAATATGAGCAAGTGATGGCACATGCTAAATCCAAGCATAGAAGCTATAAGAGTATACAGTTTGTATGAAATTAAGAATGATCTATCGAACCTTAACGGAAGTGGGCCAACAGCCAAAAGGCTCGGAAAGAAGGGTAAGCACCATGTTTCGAGGGGCCTCAATTGGCACGCCAGAGGATAATCCATCTGTCAGATGGATGACAAGGTGATCCCCTTGCCACGGACCCTTTGCAAAGCGCTTGTAGCAAGAAGAGAACGTACCGCAGTTGTATACGACGTTGGTAGGCCGCAGTTGTTTTCACCTGGAGGAGGTTGTTTTGGTAGATGCTGGTCGTGTGAAATCCACCCAATGTTGTGCCTGGCTCTCCGACCTGCTCCAACCCAATGAGGCCGTTACGCCAAAGCGGGTGCAGTGCAGTGTGACCTTTGCCCAGCTGGACGTGTTCCCAACAAGGGTCACCTATGTGGCACGGGTCTCTCATCCAATTTTGGAGACGGTGATTGTGATGTTCCATGTTGGTAAACCAACAAGGATGGCCTGCGTTGATGGGGGGAAGATGTTGTTGAATGATGCCTTTCGGTGTTTTACGGAGGCACATTGAACATATCTAAATTGAGTCTTTGTTAAACTGAGCTCAGAAACATTGGATGTGTCAGCCTTTTCCAGCAGGATTTCCTGAATGTCCGGGTTGATCACTTCACTGGGTCATTTGGATGTCTTTCTCATCTATGAAAACCGACCAAGGTGAAGTCCGAGAAAGAAAGTCATGTCCCAACCACTGTGCTCACATGGCTGCTTTCCCATGAGCCACTGAGGCAGTACAGAGTGCGTTGATTGCTCTCCGGGCCATTATGCCGACCCTGGCGATTCGACGTGCAAAAACTGCCCATTCCCATTGCTTTTGGTAAAAAACAAGTGCATCTCACCTGCAATATCCTGCAGTGTTGAGTCGGACTTGCGTTGCTAGGGTTGTTCATCAATCAGACTCGGATTTCAGGTGCACTAAATATAGGATACACCAAATAGTGGTGTCGACTGTAATTATGCAGAATCTCAAGCCTGAACATGTTCTTGCTTCCTTCATTGACCTATCAAATAGCAAAGAACTGTCGGACCTTCCCGAGGTATCTCGTGGCACCTTTGGGGGCTGCTCATCCTTCTCCTCATCCTCTTCTCTTTGTGTGCCGTGATCGTTCTGCTGCACCGCAGGGCGAACAAGCGCCGGCGCAAGCTGAAGGAGATGCGGCAAGAGGAGGTCATCCGGGGCAAAATGGTTTCACAGACAGTCCGTGCAAAAACGACCAGCCAGGTTACGATGTATACAATTACCATCAATTACCTGATTCGAGCCCCTTATAATATAGAGAAAAAGAGTTCAAGCCCTAAAAATGAGAAGAGATAGGATTGTTGAAGAAGATTGATCTGAAGGCGTTGCAATTTGACATGTCGCATGATTGTCGACACTCCTTGGGGTATGGCCAGTGGAACAGGACGGTACAAATGACCTTTTGTACAGAGGTCGTGTTCTATTGCTAGGTGGGCGTGGCCTTCTTCGATAAGTTTCTTGGAGCCTTTCTAAAAGAGTATCCAATTAATAAGAACTGTGTACAAATGAGCAAAAACCAGGACAGGGTTATCTAGCATGCGTTATATAAATTGCGTTAACATCGGACAATGATGCAATCGTGATAGTCATGACTGCGATGACTCGTGATTCCTCTCAGTAGAGTTATGATAAATCTCCAGCAAGTCGTCACAGTGTGCACAGTGTCGATCTGGTTCGATGCGTTGCAGGTCTTTAGACGATTCCATTGCAGTCGTGCCAGGTCAAGGGTATTCTTCAGGACCTCGAG